ATAAAGTTCTGTCCGTGATACACATACAGATTTTATTTTACCATACTTTGCACACCAACACTTTGGTACTTGCGTACAAACACTTTACTGTTTGTTATTCAATTTTGTACGTGTAAGGTCTTTTTAAATACTTTTATCGAAAGACACGTACAGATAGATATGCTTATGGAATTATTAATAACAATATTATTGTTGGAAAATATATTTATGTATGATTATAGGTATGCATAAATTATTAAAAATACTTTATTCTACAAAGTACGTAGTAAACACTTACAACTAGTTGTTTCATATTCTCAGCTAAACTACAAATATTGAGCGTTCCTCTAGTGTTATTGAGAATCATGTCTTTTAGACTTCCATTAAATCTGACATTAGCTCCATTGTGGAATATTATAGACACTTTTTCGATCAATATTTCTCGGTCGGAAGGTAGCAATCCTAAATTGTCAGCAGCTAAATTTCCACTTATAGGAATAATTTTATCAAATGCAGATGGTTGCGTGCTTCGTAGCATATCGAAAAGCTAAATTATTAATACCAATTAGTACAAATACAATAGAATGCATGGTATATATTTCTATTGCTATTTTATTCATTTGTAATTTTGAAAAAATTCTCTATTGAATAGAAAAAAACATTTAAAAGATAAAAAGATCATGCATATATCGTTTGAATATAAATATAATCAATATTAAAAAGATATTATTTTTGGTATCATATCTTGATATCACAAAACGTTTAACAAGCAGCAATGCTTTTGTTCTTTCTAAAAAAAACTATTTTATACAGTCTTATTGTTTCTATATAAACTAATGATATGAAAAGCTAATTTGTTTGTTTTTCCTTCAACACTGAAATAAAGTTTCCATTATTATACGGGTGCTACGCAAGACTTTGACTTCCGGTCATGGGAAGGTAGAGGGGACTAAGACAAACAGAAAAGTATTGTACTATTTTGCGCTTGGACGAATAGTTATCGAGATACGAAATTTTAAAAATCGCTGTATTAGCCCAACCTACTGGCGAATGTAAGCGCGCGGCGAGATGCGTCGGCCTAGCGGCCCCGCTCGAGGCGGTGTTCGGCGAGGAATAGAATGGCGGTGCGGGGCGAGGAGTAGGGAGGCGAGGCGCGCCGCTGCCCGTCCGCCGCTTACGCGACCGCTCGCACGTCTCCCCGCGCACGTCTCCCCTTTCAAATTAGAATATTGAACGAATTGGTGTTTTTTTATTTCCTGCTTCTTTAAAAAACAGATTTCTACTAATTTTGAAGATCGATTCTATTGTATTGCTTAAAATACTTCTAGTCATAACTACACGAATTCATAATGCCTACGAGTTAAACGGCAGCATTTAATTGTGTTGTAGCAATAATAACTTGTACAATAACTTGTATAATAGTTAATAGAAACGCATCTACGGTCAGGCTAAATTCTGGTACCTAGCTATATTTTTTTCTTCTCTATACACTTTTCTCAACCCAGCAAAATGTAATAATAATTTAACTATGTCGCAAATATATTTATGCACATTTATGCTGATCTCACCTTGTTATCCAACATTTTCTGCAGTCTATCGTTGATACTTAGTTCTTTTTTCGGCCGTATGAGTACAAATATGGTTGCAACATCGGGACATGATCGTAAAATCTTTTCAATAAGAACTTTACCCATAAACCCAGTCACTCCGGTAATGAATATACAACGGCCGGCATAAAAAGCCGGAATATACTCATATGCTGTTTTATTTTCCATGTTTAGACGTAACGTATATATTTTCCGAAAATCGGTTAAAATACAAGTAAAATTATCTTGATTTTTATAGGCAAGGTACAAAACGTAAAAATCTCCGTACTTGTTTTCACTTACAGCGAAAATGCGAATGATTCTAACAAACGTTAAATACAGGAGCTTATAAAGCTTGTCTTACGGTAAAATATTCCTAAAGGTTAAAAAAGCAAAGCCCATGCCTTACGTATTGATCTGCGTATGTATTTGAAGTCACTTTGTTTCGTTTCATACATGATTCAAACAACGTGGAGGGTTAAGTAGACGACATTTCGTCAGGCGTGCACAATGTATCTTTTGTGTTTTATGTGGAAGGAATGGACTAATGTTGCTAGTAATTTTGTATTTAAAGACTATGTGTAGCATACACATAGTCTTTAAATACAAAATTACTAGCAACATTAGTCCATTCCTTCATACAGGCGCGTTAGGATTAAAACTCGCGTGCATACAGCGGAATACTGCGTTTTAGCCCAAGATTTAGGATTTAGGTCAATTATTACCTTAAAAACTCACCTTTCTAAAAAGATAAAAAAAGTTTTTGGTAATTGTGCATAAAAGCGACTTCCTCTCCGATTCGCTTGATTTTTAAATATGTTGTTGGGGATGTCTTCCCGAGTAATTTCATATATATATATATAAGGGTCGGACTCAAATAGTTTCGGAGATACAGGCTGTAAAAGGTTACAAATAATAATATATAGGTTTGTAATATTTCACGTATACCGAGATCCACCCCCACCCATCCTTGCATGCGGAGAGGTGCGGTAGTCCCTGTTTGTTTATGTTTCGGATGGCCTCACGTGGAAAGTTTCTGAAACCATATACAATTCAAAGAATGTATAAGTGTCTTAAAGTAATAGTTTTCGAGAAAAATGATGGAGTCTAAATCTTATATCTTTTTAACGAACCAGTTGCAAGTGTCTTTAGCACGGCGCGCTGCGCGCGCCCC